CTGATGTTTAAAAAAAATGGTTATTCGCTCGGCAATTGTTGCTGTTTCCCTGGTTAGTACACATGAGTGGCGATTCTCTGTAAACCATGCAGTTAGTGTTCTGCAGAAAGTCTAGATTATAGGTGTCAAACTCGATACCTGGAAAGCCGCAGCTCTGCACAGTTTTGCTCCAACCAACCTTAATCAAACACATCTAACTAATCAAGGTGTTCTTCTAGACTACTTGAGGCTATAGGCAAGTGTGATTTGGCGGTGATTGGAGTTAAAATCTACTGAGCTGTGGGCCTCCAGCAATTGAGTTTGAGACCCTTGGTCTAGATCCACTATTTAGTTACTCAACTATTGTGCTAGGTACAATAGTAAGATGGTTTACTACTCACAACTTCTGACAGAGCACTGTAAAAATGCAGGGTTCCACACAATTCATCATGTTGTCACCACACAAATGGATTAAGTTAACACATTTAAGTGGACTGATCATAAAACCATTAAGTTGTGCCAAAAAAATAAAAAAATAAAATAAATCCTCTAACCACTACATTATTGGTTGCCTGAAGTTGCTCTTTTGGAAATTGGTACTAAGAAATAATACATTATTAGAAAAAACAAACATATTTTAATTGATAAAACAGGAAGGCATGCTTCACATGTCAATCATTACAAAGCATTTTTCCTTTTGTCCTGCCATGTTTCAATCCTTTTTTTGTTTACCATTATTGCTGATTTACCTCCTGCGTTGTTTCTAATTCTGTTCAAAACATTTGTCTTGTTTTTGACTTGTCTTGTTTTTGTTTTTGTTTTTTCAATTGAAATATGTTTGTTTGTTCTGATAATGTATTATTTCTTAGTACTAATTTCCAAAAGAGTTTTTTGTTCACTCATCTTCTGACATTTTCAAAGCTGCTTACATGTCTGTGCCAAAGGTGTAGTGGTTAGTGCATTGATACAAGGCACAATGGTGTTCATGGTGACCCAAGTTTGATTCCCACCTCAAGGTCCTATGCTGATCCTTCCCCTCTCTCCTCTCCCTATGCTTTCCTGTCTATACTCTACTGTTCCATTAATAAAAGGTGAAAAAGAAGATGACAGAGTAAAAGGATGTACAGAAAGGATTATGGTTTTTATTTTTTTTTTTCACTCAACTTCAGGCAACATCAGTTCTGCAGACACAAAATGTTCCAATGACACAACTTAAAAAGTTTTGTTACAGAGAAGTTCACCTCTCTAGAAAACTAATAAATAATCTTATGTTAATCCAACTTAATTTTTTTAGTATTACTGACAGCTGCAGCTGATGTTTTCAAAAGTTGAGTGAACAAGAAAAAGCAAAAGGAAATAAGGACTGTTTTTTTGTTGTTGTTGTACTGACTTAACATTTTGTACAGTGCAAATATCTGTAAATTTGCAGTGTTCTGTGTTTTGTGAGTAATTAATTTATTATGCTTTAGAAATGTATTGGACTTTGATCTTTTTCCAACAACTTTTAACCTGGAAAAGTAAAAATTGAGTTTTATTTAACATCTAACAGTTGTGTTATGGTCCAAAAACATTGTAATAAACTGCCAGTACATTTGCTGTTATTTTACAGACTTAATGACTATCACTTAATATTAATTTTCCTATATGTTATATTTTATTCAAACGACTAAAATATCAATAAAAGTCACTTTATTAAATTGTAGAGATGAATTTTCAACATCAAAAGTCAACAAAGCTGAGATTAAGGTCTCATAATGCAAATCACAACCATAAATGAACAGAAAACACTTGAGAATCACAAAATACAAAAACTGTTAATTAAAAAAATGCAAGGTTAATTTATCTTGTCCCGACACAAATCGTCAATCGACAAAACGTCAACTTAACAAGTTTAAGTAGATTGAACATAACAGAATGAAGTTGTCCCTCAAAAATCTCAAAAATGGTTGTTTCAGCACATTTTAAACAAGTAGCTTGAACAAAGTATTTTTAACTGTACTATTAACTTTGTCAATCAGAATTTGATGATATCAGAATGAACAATTCCTTGACCATGTCCTGTATTTTACATGCACAGTAACGGGGAAAACCCATCAGTTTGAAAGCAAAATTCATTCATTTTCTGGTCGGCTTAGTCCCTTTATTAATCTGGGGTCGCCACAGCAGAACGAACTGCCAACTTATCCAGCACGTTTTTACCCATTGATGCCCTTCCAACCGCAACCCATCTCTGGGAAACATCCACACACACTCATTCACATACGCACTCATACACTACGGACAATTTCGCCTACCCAATTGACGTGTACAGCACGTCTTTGGACTGTGGGGGAAACCTAAGCACCAGGAGGAAACTCATGTGAACACAGGGAGAACATGCAAATTCCACACAGAAACGCCAACTGAGCCGAGGCTCGAACCAGCGACCTTCTTGCTGTGAGGCGACAGCACTACTGCGTCGTCCTTTGAAAGCAAAATATAAATCTTCTTTGACACCTGCTAATCAAAATTATTTACGTATTACCAGCACTCCATTGTGGCTTCTCTCTGTTTTCTACCAAGCTCTTTAAATCACGCTCATTGCACTCTTTAAATCCAAGACATGTAATTGAACAGCTGTTGGGTTTCTCAGTGGTAACCTTTAATTTGGCAAAAGCAACATGCCATTGGCTAAAATCTGATGATCACCTAAAAGCTGCAATTTGGATCCTAGGCAGCTGCAAGCAGTTTGCTTCGCTGCAGTGCTAGATATACTCTGAGATATGGAGACGTTAACCACATGGCTCTGACAAGCCGAAAGATCCTAATTGCTCCCTTACACCCCTTTATTAAAAGGCTTAATGGGGAAAACAAGCAGCTTCAGCAGTGAATGTTGACTCTTTTGTAAAAGACCCCACAAAGCAGCAGCACACGAGTAGCACTGATACAATAAAGGATAATTCACTTTGAGTCCTCGATTGGGCTTTGAATTCTTTTTTTCTTATTTCCACCTAGATTGCTCATTTGTTTTATGAGAAATTAATTGCAAAAGTAATTGTGGCATTCATTATGTGGAAATACATAAAACAGCCATTTAGAGGAAGAAGGATAATTGTATTACTCAATATTATGGAGCAATTAGTTTGCATAGTAACATTTGTTCAGTTTTGAATCTACAATAAGCTCAGTGTTAAGTTTTATCAGACAGATTTATCAGATTTTAGACAGATTTTTCACTGAACAGTGTGTGGTTTGACCAAATGATTCATTAAAAAGGTCTCTGACTGGACATCATCCTCGATCTACAGGGTTTCATGTCATTCTCTGTCTCAAACCTTTTGGTTTTCCCAGACATCCATTGGTAAATAATCATTATTCAGAGTAGAGCATAAAAATACAGACAACTAAAACAATAGACTGTAAAATAAGATAAATAGTATGAAATTGGACATGGTAGTTTGATAACACCATTTTGTTTAACATTGCCATATAAAAGCTAGATTCTACCTTGGAATGACTGACTGAATGACTGACTGACTGACTGACTGACTCAATCAATCAATCAATCAATCAATCAATCAATCAATCAATCAATCAATCAATCAATCAATCAATCAATCAATCAATCAATCAATCAATCAATCAATCAATCAATCAATCAATCAATCAGGTCATTTGTAACTTTTTTTCTCTTAATTCAGATTTTCTTCTTCTTAACATGAGAAAATTAATTAAAATCAATTAGAAAACTGATTTTATGTCTTGCAACGCATTGTTTTTGCCAATATGAGATCATAATTTTGAGTTTATAAATCAAAACTGAAATGTACAGATGAAATTCACAAAAAAAAAAGTCCAACATAGGCTCATTCTGAAACCTTAACCCTATGTACATTTCTGGAGATCACGAGTTATGTAGCCTGAGCGACGTATGGCTGCATTTCATCTTTCATATGAACGCGATGGAGTGGTATGACGCTGTTTCTATTCTTGCCCACCAGCTGACCGCTTACTTTTATATGGACAACTTTCCTGCTGTTACCACCCAGCAGGCACACAACATCATAAGATCTTAATATTAGGTCAGTTTTAGGTCATGACGTCAGGTGACCAAAATTCTATGGTTAGCCTGCATCTAAGGACAACGTTATTTTAACATCCAATAACGATGTCAAATTATGTTTATATTTGGTTGATTTTAGGTTGTGTTAGAACATGACCAAAATCCAACGTCTGATAGATGTCATAGTGGTAACGTCCACACAACGTCAAGGTGTAACATAATTAGACGTTGATATTTAGTTGATTTTAGGTTGATTTTAGGTTGGACATTGAACATTGACATCGGCCTGACGTTGGTTTCTGATGTCAACCTGATTTTCATTTCCAAACAAAATCCAACGTCCCTATGACGTTGAGGTACAACATCATAAATTTATGTTGATGCCCTGTGCCTGCAGGGTAGTTCAACATGTAAGTCGACGGACTAGAGACGCAGAGCGGAGTTGACTGCGACAAGAGGTTTTAAGTCAGGTAAAGAACGGTTCCAGAAAGCAGGTAAAACAAAAGCTAAAAACTGCAATAAACAAGTAAATAACAGGGTAAGAATGTTGTAAAATCTTAAAATGTGGTAAAAATCAGGTAAGAGCTTTTCTTTTTCTGGATTGCTTTTTAAAAACACTGCGGTTGGGTTTAGGGAAGGGGGAGTTTAGCAGGATTGGTCAGTTGGTTAGTCAGTAAATCAGTCAGTTGGCAGCAGCCTGTGGTGGATTTATGTGAGAACAGCAGATGTGAACGGCACTCACATGAGAGATATTTGAGAATTGAAAAAGCGTACACAGCGGCCTCTAGTGGATTTGGAAAAACAAAAACTGCAAAAAAACGTAGCTTTTTTACTGTAGCTCTCGGGATGTATTTTGCTCTCTTCAGAAATGTATATAGGAGTACGTAATCAGAATGAGCCTGAGTTGGGAAAATCACAGCTATTAGAAAAAGTAAGAGTCGTGTGATATAAACTTCCAATCAAAGCTTCAAAGTCAGAATTGTTGGCTAAACGTCAGTTACTTTTTTTATTCAGTGACAGAAACAAAGATAATAGTAACATATATAATAGTACATATAGTATACCACATTTATCAATAAGTTCCTTGGAAAATGCAAAAACACCATTTCAAATTAAAGTCTATATTTAAAAATTGAAATATGTTTTGATATATTTAAACACAAAATATAGACTGTTTGAATATAGGTATGCTATGCTAAACGCCATACAAATACTGGAGCAATATCACAAAATATTACATCTGAAATGGTAAATTATTTCTTTATATGCAAAGATAAAAAGATTTAAAGATAAAAAGAGGTTATATACTACAATATATCAGTTTATAATTCAGCAGGACTTAATTATAGCTACGGTAAAGACATATCTTTGTCACAATACAGTATATGACATGATAGAAATATAAATGCACAATGACAAATTACCTGTGTTACTACTGAGTATTTCTGTCTCACATCTCATTAACAAATATGAGAGGGCCTCTGGATGTGGGACTCCCCATCTGTCGGTACAGCATCGGCTGTCCCAGACTGGTTTGTGGGAGACTGAAGCCTCCGCTGGACAAGTCAAAACTTCCCTGGTTGTAGAGCCTCTGACCAAAACCGGCTCCGGACTGATCAAAGCTGGTCTGACTGAACTGCCTGAAGCTACCGCGCTTCTCAGAGGGCGTTCTGGAGGGATACCGCTGGAAAGACTTATGCAGACCCGTCTCTTTATAGGCAAACCAGATATTACCAGCCCAAAGTAAGAAGTTCAAAAAACCAAAGGCCTGAAAGCAGACAAGAAAGAATTGGAATTGTAAAATAGGACTTCTATCTTATGCATTTAAAAGTTTGTATATTATCTTGAAAAAATGCAATAAAATAGTTAAATTGGAGTAAAATTAACACCAAGCGTATACTGTCATGACTTACCACATAATTTCACCAGAATATTATAAACAGTGTGTACAGCTGTCGCTTATTTTTTGTGAAAGCTTGCTACATTTTTTTAAAGTCCCTCCCATATGAAGGTCACCCAACCTACTTGCGGTGTAATCCCTCCCACTTGGAGGTGTCCTGGCTGCAGCAATACCTACTTGGGTATCACTGTTGCCCGAAGACCTCCAAGTGGGAGGGATTAAATTTTAAGTATAGGCTGGATTTAGGTGATGTAGGTGGAGCAGACATTAAAAAAACACATCAGGTTACTGTAAGGTTGGGTTTAGGGTTGGGGTAGGTGGAGACGTTAATAATACACACAACACAATCTCACGGCAATTCGTAACTTTTTCATTTAGTGGCTAATTCGTATGAATTCGTACGATCTAATTCGTACAATTTAGTACGATTTGCTTATCCCCCAATGACGGTTGGGGTTAGCGGTGGGGTCAGGTGCCACACCTCCTTTTTAAAATCGTACCATTTCGTACGACTGAACTCGTACGAATTCGTACGAATTAGCCACTAAACTAAAATACTTACGTTTTCTCGTGAGATCAGGCTGAATACACAACAGGTTACAGTGAGGTTGGGTTTAGGGTTGGGGTAGGTATAGACGTTAATAAAACTTATCAGGTTACTGTAAGGTTAGGTTTAGGGTTGGGGTAGGTGTAGACATTCATCAAGCACAATATTGAGCTTGTGCCATGTTCAAGACATTAAATAAATAAATAAACACCCCAGGTTTGTATTGCCAACTAGGAGGTCAAGTGCCACCCACTTGAAACTGGCTCTGAGCTCTGTTTTTTTGGAGTTTCTGATAAATAGTAAGTGCAATTAAACATAATTTGTTTGAAATAGCCAATTTTTTGTGACATCAAAAATGTTTAACTGTCAGTTTTGTTCAATTTGATCAATCTTTGCTAAATAAAGTTATTCACTTCTCACTTACCTTAAACTTCTTGAAGGGTTAGTTTACATCAAAATAAAAATGATCTCAAATTACCTTGCGCAAGTGGTTTCAAGTATGATTTTTTTTTTCTGCACAACATAAAAGAAGATATATTGAATTAAGGACACATTGACTTTCTTAGAAGGAAAATAAAAGCTGTCAATCGGTCTCAGCGGTCTCTTGCATTTTTCAAAATATCTTCTTTTATGTTTAACAAAATAAATAAATTGCAATCGATTTTTGAAGAGGTGTGGGTTGGGAAAATAATGACAGAACTTTCTTTTTTTTTTGTATGAACTATCCCTTTAATGGTAATATGCAATAATGACTCCCTTACATTTTTCTCTTTTCCCTATCCATTACGATAGAAAATACAAAAAAAAAAGGATGCTCTCACAGCAGACATGTTGAGATTGGTCCAGATGGGTTCCTGCAGGACCTCACATGTGTTCTCCTGGGCTCTGCATGCAGACATTAACAGCATGATTTGGTGCACATCAGTGGCCGTTTTTACCCCAGACAGAGTTTTAGCCCAGGCAATTGAGCTCACTAGCCACATGCTAGAGAAAGCTAAAGTCACCAAGAAATCCTGTGAGAAGAGAAAAAAAGAAGAGGAAGCAGAAAGATGATTCAATTAAACTGTATTGAGTTTTTCAGCACTCTCCTTTTCTTCCAATGGCAGGCATTTCTCACAGATATTCTGAAATGCACTCACAACTACTGGACCTCTGTTCTTCTCTCTGTATTTGTTCTGGTAGAAGAAGTAAACAATAGTGGCCAAAAGGGAATAGAGAAAAGCCAGGACTGACACAGAGACAAAGAACTGCGCGGACGAAGCATAATCGCCTTCCAGAAAAAGAGTCTCTTTCCTGGTTTTTTCACACAGAGGAGCAGTGAAGTGAACCTGTTGCAATCTGTAAAGGGAAAACATAGGAATTTACACTTTTATTGTATAGCTCAAATAATGGATTTAGATTATATGTTTAATCACAACAGGTTGTTGCTAAAATGGACATAGTACAATCATATTAATTAAATATCCACTACCTGACAAAAGTCTTGTCGCCTATCTAAGTTTTAGGAACAACAAATAATATCTTGACTTCTAGTTGATCATTTGGTATCAAAAGTGGCTTATGAAAGGCAAAGGCCTCTAGATTATGCTTATTTTACCAAAATAATTTAAATGATTTAATTAGGACAGTAAGGTCTGACTTAACTTACTTTACTTAAGTCTTGTCACTTAACAGAAACAATGTACAGTATAAAATTTAATGTTAACTTTCAGTGGAAAAAGAATTAATATTGTGTATGACTCCCATGAGCTTGGACGACTGCATCTATACATCTCTGCAATGACTCAAACAACTTAATAATAAAGCGTTCTAGCACAGAGTTCATCAAGATTCTTTGGATTCATCTTCAAAGCCTCCCCTATCTTATCCTAGACATGCTCAATAATGTTCATCTCTGTTGACTGGGCTGGCCAATCCTGGAGCACCTTGACCTTGATGTGGAGGCTGAAGTATGAGAAGGAGCGCTATCCTGCTGAAGAATGTGCTCACTCCTGTGATTTGTAATGTAATGAGCACCACAAATGTCTTTAGGTCTTCAAATGTCTCTCGCACACCTCCATACTGATTGTAACCCCAAACCATGATTTTTCCTTCACCAAACTTGACTGATTTCTGTGAGAATATTGGGTCTATGAGGGTTCCAATAGGTCTTCTACAGTATTCGTGATGATTGAGATACAGTTCAATAGATGATGTATCAGAAAAAAATTAACCATCTGCCACTTTTACAAATGATCAACTAGAAGTCAAAGTATTATTTGTTGCTCCTTACAATTAGGATCGACGACAAGACTTTTGTCAGGTAGTGTAGTGGTTGTACAATAATCAGACTACTTTGTTTTTTTAAAAAACATTACAATCAGATTACAATTTTTTATCAAATTTTTAACAACTTTTTTTATGGATTACATAAAAAACAATGACAGTGAATTATTCAGAATTTGTTCCTCCTTTATTATTATTTTTCTTTCAAGCTTTCCTTTCTAAACTAATTTTGATTTAGTTTAATTCTAATTTTGACATTTTAGATGTGTATCATATTGTAAGTGTATTTACAATAAATTTAAAATCACAAATATTAAAAAATCTCAAGCAAATTAATTTGTGATCCTCGTCGCTGAATTTTTAACTAAATTATGCAAAAAGTAATCTAAATGTAATCCAAAAGTGTATTAACACATTACATAAAGTAGGTAATTTGAATTACATTAATAAGAGCAAAGAAATACAGTATATCTTTATATTTTGGATTTACAAAAATAATACTAAATTCACCATTAACACTATACTCAAAAATATATTTTCTGTTCGTTCAAACTAGTTTTTTGGGGGACAAATTAATTATTTTATGTTCAATCCATCTAAATGAGTAAAACCTAATAAGCAAAATTAATTCTTTCATATTATCCCACCACAAATTGATTACTGAAGATTTTTTTTCACAGTGTACTTTCATTATCTAATTAGTCTGACATTTTAAAAATGATTTATGACTCCTTGAAACCAAAAATTAAATCAAACACCCTCTTCGAATGTTATCACTCAATTGAATGGGTGCTAAATGTCCCTCAATACACTGAAAACCTAAATATGTTTTATTAATAAAATAAATGTAATTAAAAATAAATACATAAATGACTGAAGCATGTATTACACAAAGCCTGATCGTCAAACCCCTCTGATTATCAATGTATAATTTGCACACTGCCCTAAACCCAACCGTCACAGTAATGTAAAAACAGATCTGGATCTGGAGTGTTCTCTATTAGTATAGCTGATTAACAATGTGAATGGATGATAACAGCCTTCTGAGCCTACCAGAAGGTGCAGAAGGCCCTTACTGGCCCTTATCTATCAGCTGATTACCACTAATAACGCACATTGAATTGAGTGATAACATTCAACTTATCTGAAACAAAATCAATCCAAAAACAAACCAACTGACTAGACATCTGATAACATTCCACATTAGAGTATAGCGTAAAATGCAGTACAATAATTGTAAGCACTTGCCTGAAGGGGTAGTTGAAACTAATGCTGATGTTGTTTTGGGTTTTGTCCAAACATTCTACTTTAACCATTATCTGGCCAGAATATCCGCCACATGTTGCAAATGCTAAAACAGCAAAAAGCTGTAGAGGAATAAAAAAGAGAAGCAAATGATTAACGTAAAGCCCTGATGAAAGACAACAACAACAAAAAAAAAGCCAGTGCTCTCTTGACTTGACATCAGAAGCTTTACTTCATCAGAAAAAAGTCAAGAGAAATTAACCTCACTGAACGTTTAAGCATCCCTCTTTAATTATCCTCCAGTTTTCTGATTTAAGGTCAATTTAAATGACCTCTCGTCCAACCGCCGCACAATTAATGCTGCAAAATTAGACGGAGTTGCTTTAAAGTGCACTAACCCCCGGCAGTCACACGTTTGTCTGACACGATTTGAATATTTTTCCACCAGTTCAGATTTTGGTTTGGCATAATGAACGAAAGGGCAGGACGTTTACTGGACAAGTGCCAATTCTTTATTTTCAGCAGCGTTCCAAGTCTCCTGCTATTTTCTCCTCTCTCTTCTGCTATTTCTGATACTATGATGCAGCAGGTGAAAGGAAGCAGGTCCTGTCAATTAAGATTTAATGCCTTCACTCTGTATACTAATTAAATACAGACTGAGATATGGACTGTAGGTAATGAGTGTGTGGGTCTGTGTGTGTTTCAAAGAGAAAGTGCATGGAGAATTTTCTTAAAAATTAAGCCTTTCTCCTAATAGGCAAAACAGCTAAGCAAGCCCTAAGATGTGCATAATAAATATCACACATAAAGGGCATCTTTATAACTTAATAATGTCATACACAGAATAAAGAAAAAAGGTAGCTTCTTTGATGAGTCTCTGATGAGATCCAGTGAATTATGCAAAGGTTACCCAGGGGTTGCCAGCAGACCCAGAAACACACACGCTCACACACACTCATAAGCACACTCATACGTAGGCTCAAATTAATTCAAATTTACATATCTGCATGCACACACAATACAAATACACATAGGCAATCATTCTGCATTTCTCTCAGCTCAGATTTCACATTAAAGTCTGTCAAAGAGCTGGATGGCATCGATCTTTTGCACATTTCAACAAGAACAGATGAATTATTCAAGCAAGAGAGACTACAAACAGCGAGCCGATGCTGCGACCCCAAAGAGCTGCTAATAATTAAACATTAATTCTGATAGGCATATTATAGATGATAGGCACTTATTAGCAAAACTTTACTTTCGCTTGACACTTTACCTTGTTCCTGACAAATTCCACCCCATGTATACACAAAAAAAAAATATATATATATTTTTTATATTAAGACTGAAAATAAATAAAAGCTAACAAGTGACATAGTTTAGGTTAGCTAAATTACATTTAAGATAAGTGGTATAATCGTGCATCATGGTAAATACAGTAGCTGATTTAGAAAATTCAAACAGAAATCAGAAAGTTCAAAAAGAGAGCTCTTACCGGAGCAAATATGACCATGCACATTGATGAAACGGATGGAGCATCAGCCTGTGTGTGTGTCTGTGAAGGAGTGTTGAGCTCCTCTGCCAGCCAAACCCAGAGATACTGAGTGAATGAACACCATGGAGATGCTTCAACAGGGGAAACTGGCACTGTGTGTGTCAGTGAGAAGACACACATGCATGTGCGCACGCACGCACGCACACACACACACACACACACACACACACACACACACACACACACACACACACACAATGGGGTGCAATCACTATAATACAATGCAAACACCTTATTATGTGTGTGTGTGTACAGTTTGTTTCGGCACATTTTCTCTAGACTCATAGTCAATAAAAAATACACAATTAAGCAACAAACTCAATCAGCATTCCTTGAAAGATATACTTGGCACCTCACAGCTATTACGTCAGTGTTTTACACACAGGGAAGCAAATCTGACACAACAATGTCCTTCTGTTTTCTTGATTTCTTTATATTTTTTACTAAAGGGCAGAGTGAAAAGCTAGTCTGTAGGTAAATGTGTTTAATCGTCACATTCAAATGATATTGCTTCAAAATTCAGAGTAGATTTCATTTATTCACCCTCACTTGTTCAAAACCTACTCGAGTTTCTACATTCTGTTGAACACAAGAGAAGGTATTTGGGACAAAAATGCTAGTTGTTGACCCATTGACTGTGATAGTCATTTATTTTCTCTCTTAATTAAGTTGCTGGGTCCCACTAGCATACTTCAAAATGAATTCTTGTGTGTTAAATAAAATACAAGAAACTTTTAGAAAGAAAGAAAGAAAGAAAGAAAGAAAACAAGAAAAGAAAAGAAAGAAAGAAAGGTTTAAACAGACATAAAGGAGAGTAAATGATGAGGTCATTTTATTTTCTGGGTGAACTATCCCTTTAAAAATAACAATAGGGCTGACAAAGGTTTGATTCTGGTTGGTTGATGATTATTCTAAAGTACACAATCAGAAAATTCTTCTCCACACAAAGTTTTAATTAATTCTGGGCAGGTTTATATCTCATTAGAGTTCTATATCACTTGCATATTGTATATTAGATCATTTCGAAGGTCTTTGCACCCTACTTTTGTTTGCATTCTAGTGTGGATTACATTTAAAGAATTCAACAGCCAGTCATTAAGCATTTCATATGTATACCAGGAGGCAATGCCTCACCTGTCATCATCCTTACCTGCCATCACGAGATACTAATGTATATATAATGATGAAATAAATATTTGTCCACTGATCTGTGTTTTAAATGCAATTTCTGTATGACTGAATTGATTTAAATTCGTTTTATAATTAAAATCACTGTAATTTGCGTATTCCCTGTTTAATAACAGCGTAGGAAGCAAGGTGAAGCAGAACCGAGCTGTGCCTTAGGTCAGATTGCGCAATCCCCTGGGTTGAGGGCATGCCTTTTGCTCACTCAGTGTATGCTACCAATATAATGCTTTATTAAAATCTTTTTTTTATACATTGTAGACATTTTTATTATATGTCCTCACGCTGCATATGATGTAATGCATTTTACGAATACCTATCACTTATTTAGTGTTAGAATCTGACATAAAGCCACACTGAAAAGACATGAGGTAAGGCAGGCAGTAGCTCTGCTGCACTGAAGAGGGCGCCCGTGTTATTCTTGTTTAGTGGTTGCTCTCCTTCTACGAAGTAAAGTTAAGTTCCATAGGAGTCTGGCTGCGTCCGACAACACCTAGGTACTGCATTTGAATTTAAACGTACTACTCGGCCGTTAGAAAAGTATAGCTGCGTCCCAAATTGCATACTTATGCACTACTTTATGCCTTTTTGTAGTATAAATAGTTTAAGTAGTGTGTTCACACTGACAACTCTAAAAATAATAAGTGCACTTTAATTACCCGGATGATGCACTCATTCAGCCGCTAAAATGAAGTGTGTAATGATGGACACTTCACGCACTCAACGACCGCAGGTTTGCTTACGTAGCAGAAGGGGCGGAGCTATCGGACGCAATTGTTGAATAACTTTATTTATTTTGGATGGTGAAAGCAAAATTTTCCTACGAGAGTGATTATAGCACCTCCCGATGGTGAATGCAGCAATACTCATGGCAGGTATTATTTGATAATTCGGTCGTTTATTTCACTGATTTGGCAACCATCAAACGTCATCAGGGAAACGGTTTGAATTTCCGCTTAGTAAAAAAACATTAGTGTGCCATTTGGGACGCCACTACATACATATACTATCCTGTTGAGTACGTAAGTGCATAAGTACGTAGTGCATGAGTGCATAGTGTATAGTGTGCCATTTGGGACGCAGCTTCTGTTCTATACAGTATAAATGTAAGAAGCATGAATGGAATTCGACATACTACATCCGCCATTTTGTCATGGTCATGTGACCTACCTGCGTCAGTTGCGTCGCTTCACTCCCATTCATGAATTCGCTCACGGAGCATCATGGGATAGCGCAGCATGCATGGGATGCGCACTTTGGAATCTCACGGGAAATCATCCGGGTGCATCTCTCATAAGCTGCGTCCCAAATCGCATACTTATGCACTATTCTACGCCATTTTGTAGTATAAATAGTGTAAGTAGTGCGTTCACACTGAAAACACTAAAAATAATAAGAGCACTTCAATTACCCGGATGATGCACTCATTCAGCCGCTAAAATGAAGTGTGGAATGATGGACACTTCACGCACTCAACGACCGCAGGTTTGCTTACGTAGCGGAAGGGGCGGAGCTATCGGACGCACATGTTGAATAACTTTGTTTATTTTGGATGGTGAAAGCAAAATTCTCCTACGAGAGTGATTATAGCACCTCCCGATGGTGAATGCGGCAATACTCACGGCAGGTTTTATTTGATAGTTTGGTCATTTATTTCAATGATTTGGCAAACGTCATCAGGGAAACGGTTTGAATTTGCGCTTAGTAAAAAAACATTAGTGTGCCATTTGGGACAACACTACATACATATACTATCCTGTTGAGTGTGTAAGTGCATAAGTACATAGTGCATGAGTGCATAGTGTATAGTGTGCCATTTGGGACGCAGCTATACTGATTTTAAAATTCTACGACCTCGGACATACTACTCAGCTCGCATACTGATTTTAGCGTAATGTATAGTATGAAAGTATGCGGTTTCGGATGCAGTGTCTGTTATATTATGTGTTGCTCTGACTGACTGCAAAAACCTGGATGTAACAAATCAAATCAAATCACTTTTATTGTGATTTGATTTGATTTGATAATGTAAATATCTCAGTTTACAAATTCTCAAAATTGGACTTATTGCACTAATAAAATGTGAATAAATAATAAACGGCCAATGTTGGTGCTAAAGGGCTTGCTTCAAAGGACGGGACAGAAGATAACGTAATTATTTCAAAGTAATTCAAGTCATTTAAAGACTTCATTATCAAGTAAATGTAAGAACAGTGTGCGAATTGTGTGTGTGTGCGTGCGTGCGTGTGTGCTTGCATGTGTGTTTGTGAGTGAGAGAGCGAGAGCGCGCATCCACCATGATGCTGTGTCACTTGTAGGCTGTCTGTAGCGTCAACCTTGTTTTACAGAGGCTTATTGAATTGTACATTTTACATTCTTCCTTGGCCCAATATGTACCTGCCTTGTGTATAGAAAGATTGGTGATATGATAAATGAAACACTATTGTTAGTTGGCAAATACACTGGGTGCATATATTTGAAAGAGTCGTGCCTCACCAGCCTCAAACCTCACAGCACGTCGCAGATTACTAATGAAATGTGAAATATTTCTTTTCTGTAGCAAGCCTGGCTGCCCTTTGAGATATTAAACATTTAAATCATGAATAAAGAACAGTTTTTTGAATGCACCAAACAAAACAGGCATTGGTGGCTTCAGAAGATCAGAGCCAAATGGTTACTTTGATCAGTGAAATGTTCATTGAGCCAAGAGATACTTAAGTTGCAGAAAGAAAAAAATGAATGAAAGAGAAAAGTTGTGAGGTGTTTAGACCCCATCAAAAGAAATGGGATTTTTCTATGGGCAAGAATCATCCTAAATGGTCTACTTAAATTTTTAGATAACAAATTAATGTCAAAATATGGATGAAATGTTCCAGCAATCAACATTATGTATAAAATTAAACAAAATTACTTCTAACTGTACTTATTAAAACCAATCAAAGTATAATTGATCATGCTGAATTTAGTTACATTTACAATGACAAAACACTTGTTGACAACAAACTCTGTTTAGTGTTTTGAAGTAGGCCAATAACCAGCGGCGGACATATACATTATATGAGCAATTGCAGCATTATGAAAGTGTGACATTTGCAGTAAAAACTACAAAAAATAAAAATAACAACAATAATATAATAATAATAATAAAAATATATAATAAATCCACATAGAAAGTTTACATTAACATTATATTGAATCATCTGCTTATATTTTACAGAACAACTAACCACAGAGTTATAGGAGCGGAAAAAAATATCTATCTTTAAACATGTGTTGTACTTTAAATGAGGAAAATACAGCTATGACTTAGAGAATAAGAATGACTGCTTAAATACTAATGTCACAATATCAATATCAATCACAGGCAAAGAGGAAAGAAATAATTGAGGAACAGGCAGAGCAGGGTCAATCAGCTGTACAGTGTCAGGTAAGGGTGTTGTGCTTTATTGAAGGGATAATGACAATTCTTTTGGGGGTGAACAATTTTTTAAATGTTTTTGGAGTTGTGGCTGTTTAGCTGATGAACTTTACAGGCTCACTGATTTACAATATGATTGGTCAATTTAACAACTGTAATGTAAACAAGATAGTTATTATCAGTATGGAAAATGTATTTTCCTACATTTATACTGCTTCAGGAGTCAGTCCGTTGACTGTAAACAACACAACAAACAATGCAATAAATAGTTTTGAAGAAAAATTTGCTGTCATTGAACCTGAGAAAACTGAGAATAATCATAATAACGTAGTCTCTACGCTATAATAATAATAATAATGATGAAACCATATTTTTAACTGTAGGGACATATCTTTATTTGTACATTTCGGCTGTATTATTTGTGTCCCCTTCAAAAAAATGCTACAAA